TCAGACCGCTGCTCCCCTCAGCAGTGTTTTAGTAGAGCAACCTATTCTGCTCCCCACTCTGTCTCTGGTGAATCCTCTCACTCCCCCGTACTTCTGGCCTACACCCCAGCTCTTGTATGCATAAGTAAATAAATCTTTATGAAAGGTTTCCACTTTATTTTTAAAGTGGTACAGGAAAAATTGGACTTCCAAATGTAAGAGAATAAAGTCAGGTACCTATTTCATATGCTGTGTAGACATTAACAATGAGTCAGTGGCCTAAATATAAGCACTGAAGCCATGAAACTCTTGGGAAAAAAATGAATCTACATAAATTTGGATTTGGTGATGAATTCTCTGATATACACTGAAAGCATGAGCAATAAAAAAAAGACAAAGTAGACTTCAATCAAGTTAAAGACTTGTGCATCAAAGGACATCATCAAATGAGTGAAAAGACAGCCTACAGTATGGGAAGATATATTTACAAATCCATATTTGATAAGCATCTAGTATCAGAAGCTATAAAGAACCCTTATAGCACTCCCAGCCCTTGCAGACTTGTTCTCTCCTCCTTCCCAGCCCAGCGCCCCTTCCTCAACCGTGCTTCATCAGATCCTCGGTCAGGCCAAGGAGCATCCTCGTTTGGTCCCAATTTCTTTTCTTTTCTTTTTTTAAGATTTATTTATTTGTGCATACAAGAATTGAAGTGTAGGCCAGAGGTGCGGGAGGGGAGTGAGAGTATTCAGAAACAACAGAGTGGGGAGCAGAGCAGGCAAATGGACTGAAATACACTGCTGAGGGGAGCAGTGGGTGGGTCAGGAGAGGTCTGCTACACCTTGTGGGTCAGCTCCCTGGCTGCAGTGGCTGCTGATTGTTCCACAGTGCTGAGACTCAACCCCTTGCACTACCAGAGAGACAGTCCAACCTCTTTGTATTTATTGGAGCTGGAGGTCCTAGAGCAACCTTTATGTCTTGTGTCTGGCTCTGTTCAATACAGATGTCAGTTGGGACAGAAAGAATAATCCAGAACTCTGCAACAAACTGGGTCCCAATGACCAATACAAGTCCCACTCCATGAACGTCAATTATAGCAACCAGAAGGAAGGCCCAGACCTGGGAATGAAGTGTTTTAGTCTAAAACTGTTTAAAATGGGGGCCTCCCTGGCAGGGGTTCAAGTCTTAGTGGTACCAAGCTGTCAAGCTATCACCAGCCACTATGGCACGAGTTTGATCCGCAGCAAAGGAGCTGACCCACATGCCAAAGCAGACACCTCCTGTCTCACCTGCTGCACACTGAAGTCGATCTGCCTGTTCTGCTCCCCACTCTTGTCTCTGGTGAATCTTCTTGCCCCTCCATCTCTGGTTTGCACCCCCGTATTTATATGCATAAATAAATAGAGCCAAATCTTTTTTTTTTTTTTAAATAAACACCTTTAAAATGAAGATCTTTTAGAAACCCCACATGATACTCTGGGAATATTCCCCCCCACCCGACCCCCCATTAAGTGCACAAAATCATTGTTGTGTGGTGGGGCTTATACTGATGAATAAATATCTGAAACTTGAAAAAAAAACTCTTATAACTCAATAGTAAAAAGCAAACCATTTCTCCAAAGACAATATACAAATGGCCAATAAGCTCATGGAAAGATGCCTGATATTGTCATTAGGGAAATGCTAATCAAAACCATAATGAGCTACCACTAATAGCCACTAGAGTGGCTATAAATAAAAGACAGGAAAAGGAAAATAACAAGTGTGCCAAAGAGGTGGAGAAACGGAAATCCTGGAGGGAATGTAAAATGGTTCAGCACTGTACAGAACAGGTAGGCCATAGAAATTCCATATAAACTAGCAATTCCATTCTTCAGTCTATACCAAAAAGAACAAGTACTCAAACGTGGACATACGTGTTTGAGTGTCGCAATAACCCCAGAGCTCCAGTGTTGCTTAATGGACAATTGGTAGCAACAACACCAGTGTTGCTTAATGGACAGATAAACACCTTGTGTTGCAGTAGTCTTACATGGGAATACAAAATTCAGCCAGTGAAAGGAATGAGGTGCTGATGCAAGCTCAACAGTCATGAGTCCCTTGGATGTGTGGCCAGTGACGACCACCTACCCACACAAGGGTGGCCTCAGTAGGCTCTGCCATGCAGCCTAGGTGTGTAGTGAGCTACTCAATCTACGTCTATGCAGTTACACTCTCTGATGGGCACACAACAGCACGGTTGCCTAGCAACACATTTCTAGAACACACCCCCGTCATTAAGGGACGCATGACACACCCCCGTCATTAAGTGACGCATGACTGTAAGGAGGATGCACCCAGAACACATTTTGCCGAGTGAAACAGCCAGATGTGTCGCCGTCATATGATCTGTCTGAATGTATCAGAATAAGAAGTCCACAGAGGTTAAAGGCAGTCTGGTGGGTGTCAGGGTCTGGGGGGAGAGAGGCCTGGGGAATAGTGGGTTAGTGGTGTTTCCTTTGAGGTGGCAGAGATGTAGATAAAACTAGATAGAGGTGGCGGTTGTACTAAATGACATTGAATTGTTCACTTTAAAATGGTTAATTTTATGTTATGTGAATTTCACCTCAATAAAAGAAATACCAGAAAAGTAAAACTTTTTGCAAGTTTTGTAGGTGTAATTATCAGTTATAATAGAGGCGTGGCATGTACTAATATTTCAGGACACCATTTTAAAAATTGTTGACTGGAAACACCTTCCTGGGTCTCTACTGGCTAATTCTACTACAGCTGCTCTTTGCAGAGGGCGGGACCTCAGGCCAGAGATTTCTCTGATGCCTTCAGGAGCCTGACATGTGTGAGGTTAGCTGAAATCCGAGGACACTCAGCTGGTTTCATACAGTCATGAAACCATTGCCCTCCTCCCCCTGCCCCAGCCCCTGCTGCAGCCCCAGCACTGACCCCCACTGGGTAGCCAAGAGAAGGGCTCACTCTGAATCTAAGGATGAGGGCGGGAGAAGTGGTCAGCAGCTGGAGGCCACCTCTACAGAGGGCACAGTGGGTTTCGTGCCCTCTGAGTGCATTTTTGTGTGTTATCTCTGCCTAAGGAGAGGAGAAAGAGGTACAGAAGACTCTGGAAAGATTTTTGTTACTAGATGAGGAAAGGTAGGTCTTTTGTTTATTTTTAAGAATCTGCTCAAACATCCAGAGGCCTGGACCCCTTAAGAACGCTGGAAGCCTGGAGTGGGCAGTGGTGCATCTGGGGATTTGGGGAGAGGGTGAGGAGGGAGGACGCTAGCCCGATAGATGGAGGGTGTGGCTGACATTGTTTCCCAGCTCTGTGGCTGCTTATAATCCCTCTTTACTGCTGGTTTTCTAAGAAGCTTGTGGGACTAGAAATCTCTTCAAACCAGATCCTTTCAAGATGCAGTAATTCTTTGGGTATTTGGGGGTGGGAGGGGAAAGAAGGCAAGTGCACTTGAGGGACCTGCCTAAGGCCTTTTCCTAAAATGACCCCCAGATCTTTTCTTTAGATATTGAGTGGAGGCAGGGGAGACCCAACTAAGGGAGAGTAGAAGCCAGCACACATAGGCTCAGAACTCAGTTGTGTTTTTTCACTGCTTACTCAACAGAGCAGCTGGGTGGAATGGCACAGTATTTTTCTTGTTGCAATTTTGTCTTCTGTAGTCCTTTCCCCACATTCTCCATTTGAACTTAAACGGCAGGAATGAAGATTTCTTTAAAATCCTGTGGGCGGGGCAGGGCCCTCCCTGGTAGCGCAGCGGGTTAAAGCGTAGCACTGAGAATCTAAAGCCACTTCCGCATGAGTTCGATTCCCGCCTGCCCCAGAGGAGACCACGTGGCGCAGCAGACCTCTCCTGGCCCGCCCGCTGCTCCCCTCAGCAGTGTACTTCGTCCATCTGCCTGTTCTCCTGTTCTGCTCCCCACTCTGTCTCTGGTGAAGCCTTTCACCGCCCCTGAGCCTCTGGCCTGTGCCCCAGTTCTGTATGAACAAATAAATAAATCTAAATAAATAAATAAATAAATAAAATCCTGTGGACGGATTCGAGGTGGCACCACATCTGACCCTCAAGAGATTGTGCTTGTACAGGGCATTGGGAACCATCCTACTTGTAGAAATGGAGGGTTGGCTTCTACATGTCCAAGGACTCACCAGCTGCGCACCAGACAGATCCTCGGCTTAGCATATTTGTTCTTTTTATCAAGCCTGGTCTCCACACGGGCATGCCTATCCCCGGAATGATCATGTATGTAGGTGAACCTCTGAGGAGAGCCAACATGGCGCCCATACTGCATTAGAGCTTGGGAGACAGAGTCTAGAGTATAAGTGTTTCGGTGCACTAGTTCCTCCTTCCTGGGCCATGTTCACAGAGAACAGCGTGAGTATGAATATTCATGTGCCCTCTGACCTCCCCAAAACTTTGCAACCAGTTCTCAGTAGATGTGGGTTAGTTCTTAGTTCTGTGCCCAAAAGAACTTAACTAAATTGTCATGGAAGCTGCCCAGATAGTGAAACTATGAAAATCCAATATGCACCTCTATATCTTGTGGTCTGAGAGTGGTGAAAGCACAGAGTTCCTTGGCAGACAGGAAGCCCAAATAGCTGAGGTCAGCTCTGACCTTAGGTGTGAATGGGCCAAATGGTACCAAGGTTAGGAAAGAAGGCTCTTGAGTCGGGCTGCATGCGTTTCAGTCCTGGCTGATTAGCCAGACAGCCTCAAGAAATGTATTTATTGGTGCTGTATCTTTTACAGCTTACAGGGTTTTTTTTATCTGTAAAGTGCAGTTAGCAATATTACCGACCACAATAGGTGACTGTGAGGGTTAAAGGTAATGCATGTAAAATACTAGACACCGAAATAGATGCACGGAAGCTGTTGTAGAAATGACAGCTCCTGCCACGGTGGCCGCAGGGTAGGGCCTGCAGGAGAAGACAGGGAATGCCAGGGCGGCTCCTTGTTTGCTGGTTTCGCTATGATTAATTCCAACTCTCTGTTTTTTCCTGTATTCCTTTCCTTGCCCAGTTTTGATCCTCCAGAAAGTAGAAAATGGAGACCTGAGCAACAAGATTCTGAAGATCACTGATTTTGGCCTGGCTCGGGAATGGCACCGAACCACCAAGATGAGCGCAGCTGGGACGTATGCTTGGATGGCACCCGAAGTCATTCGTGCCTCCATGTTTTCCAAAGGCAGTGATGTGTGGAGGTAAGGTTGAGGGACAGGTTCCATGGTCCCCAGGTCTATTTTGGCTGTACAGATGCTTCAGGACTTGGAGATTTGAGGTTGCATAGTATCCCAGCACCTAAGTAGGTCTGAGTGACCCCATCAGAGCAATCTGCACCAATTCCCATTGCCAAGGCCCGTTTCCAGTGCCGTCATCTACCAAAAATCCCTCCAGGGTTGTGGCCAGTACCACCTCTCTGTAGGCCACTTTGTCCTGGTGACTGCTTCCTAGAAAAGACCAGTGGTTCCAGGTCCCATGTGGATTCGTATCTGACCTGTGGCATGGTAAGAGCACTCAGCACTTTGGAGATTTTCTTTTCTGGGTCCACTGACTTGCATAGTTGCATTGGCTGTTACTGTTGCACTTGTCCTTGCTGTAAGCTCCTGAAGTCATGAGCGTTCTTTATTATACTGTCTCGTTTTTCTTGGTGGGCTGGAGATTCTTTCCAAGTTATTCCTATAGCTTTTTAGTCTATAGGATCTAGCTATTGGACAGGGAAAGAGAAATAGGAAAAAGTGATCCTACGCATGTACCCAGATCGACAGTCAAAAATTAGACCAAATTTGACTTTAGTAAATATCAGTCTGAGAGGTCACAAGGAAGGAATCCAAACAATTTTGTTCCTATAAATGGGAGGGTGGCATCTCCAAAGTATACATTTTCACAGGAAGTAGCGTCTCTTTGATGCAGAAAGACTGTAGGTTATCATGGTACTTCAGTCTGTCAAATTGTTGCTTCCTGATGTGTTTTTTCAGTGAATTTCTATATCACATTTACAAAGTAAGATATATATGTGTGTGTGTGTGTGTTTTACACATATACCATATACTTGTTATATATCGGTGTGTATATATGTACCCACACCGATATATAACATGTATATGGTATATGTGTAAAACACACACACAAATATAAAACATAACAGCATTTTGGGGATCAATCACACACCAAAAGTTCACTCTTTAAAATGTATGTTAGTGATTTTTAGTGCATTTACAAGTGTTTGCACCAGTCACTAGTAGTATAGGTTTCCTAGGGCTAGAGCTGCAGTAACAAAGTATAACAAGCCTGATGGGTAAAAACAATAGACATTTACAGTCTGGAGGCCAAAGTCTGAAATTGGTGTCAGCAGGGCCATACTCCCTCCAAAGATTCTGGGGGCTATTTTACTTTATTTAAGGATTTTGTGTACTAGGATGTGGACATATCTTTTTAGGGCCACCATTCTGCCACTGTAACCACTATTATTTCTGGAGTATTCTTGTCAACTCAAAAAAGAAAGCCAGCACCCCTGATTTATGGGTTTGCCTCTTCTGGATGTTTTATGCCAATGGTCTTTTGTTACTGGCTTCTTTCAATAGCATAGCATTTTCAAAATTCAGGATTTATCCATGTCATACCTTGTGTTAGAACTTCATTTTTTATGGCTGAATAATACTCTTTCATATGGATAAACCACTTTTTGTTGATCAGCTCATCATTTGATGGATATTTGGGTTTTTCTACTGTTGGTTATTATGAATGATGCTGCTTTTTATTGTGAATAATAATGGACATTTTTGTATAAGATTTTGTGTGAACATAGTTTTATCTCTTAGGTATGTATCTAGGAGTGGAACTGCTGATTCACGTGGTAAATAGACAGGAGAGGTCTGCTGCGCCATGTGGGTCACCTCCAGGGCCGGGCATGGAACCGACACTGAAGAGGGTGCCACTAGTTTGCAGTTCTGCGCTCTAACCCGCTGCGCCACCAGGGAGGGCCTCTGAGCTGCTTTTTTAATGTAATGTAGCATGGACTAAAACCAGACTAGCAAATACTTACTATGTCAATACGTATATTATGTATATGTCATGTACATGTCCATAAATACATTTTAAGTGGGGTCTGGTTAGTAACAATGGGAAGAAGGTTATATATATATTTTACAACTGGCAACGTGTTTTCTCTCACGGTAGTTCAACTGCATTGCCAAAGAGTATTAAGCAAGTCAGTGTAATTCCTGGAATGTGAGGCCACGGCCAGTGACCAAGTGCAGGAGCCTATTCTTGAGAACACTCCCCTTCCAGCACGTGCATTGGGAGAGGACTGGGTGAAGGAGAAAGTCAGTCTGGCCCAGCTCAGGTGTGGACCCACAGAACCTTTGGTGGGGGAGGGTTGCTCCTCCCTCTGGGGCCTTTCCGCACATCAAACATTGACACACTCCTCCCCACCCCTGGCCCCACCTGACAGTTGAAAGGATGCGCCCCTTAGGACATGGCTAATGATTGACACAGGGGAATTCCCTGGGTTTGGGCTAGGTAGTGAGAGCTCTTGGGAAATCAGTGGGAGCCCTTATTTCCCTGAGCAGTGTGCTAGCCCAGCTGGTACTTCCAGGCTGCTTTCAGACAGCCCTGAGTGGACCTCATGACCTTCTCTGTTGTGTGAGCAACAGAATAGGGTCAATTGAGGAAAATCAGGCTGACTGCCCGCCTTTCCTGGGGCTCAGCCCCACTGGCATGTGTTTCCCGCACCCCTTAGAATCAGCTGCCCAGAGTACACTGAGGTTTCACTTCTTGGTGGAAATGACAGTTCAGCTGTAGTTGTCCCCAGCAAGCCATCTCAGCTTCTTTCCTGAGTGTTGGTGTCTCTCTGCAGCACTCAGCAGCTCCGTGGCCTCTCCCTGGGGACCCCCCCCCACCTCCCTCCCCTCACACTTTCTCATTTCAGGGAAACACAGGACTTTACTAGCCACTGGGGGTAACTTCTAGACGAAGAGTAATTTTATTCCTTACGACTTGTGGGGTGGGGGTATTGTTGGCTTTGTTGTAAAGGGAAGACAACTGAGGTTTGGCGAGGTGAGAGTCTGTCCCCAAGGTCACACTGCTGAGAGTGCTGATGCAGGCATGTCACTGGAGCCTTCTCCCACTTCTCTTAGCTGGAGAGCCCTTCACATGGAACGGAATGCAGACCAGCTAAGAGGCAGGCGGCTCGGAGCGCAGCTGCCCTCATTGCCGCTGGGAGGGGCAGAGCCCTGCTCCTCCCTTGTGGCAGGCGGGCCAGGCAGGGCCCGCGAGCAGAGGCAGCGCATGCTTGGCTCTTGGACAGGCTCTGCTGGCTTCCCAGGTAGTTAGAGCTCGGGCCCTAAGCATCTGTGCCCAGGTGAAGGAAAGGGGTTCTTTGGAATCCTGGGTGTTTTCCCCAGGTTGAAGGTGGGAGTTAATGCCAAGCGCAGGCAACCCAAGAGGAGAGCCGCTCTAACCTGAGAATCTAGCCAGTGCTGAGTTCATGGAGGTCACTTGGTAAAAGCTGCCCAGCGTGACCATCTGGGTTAAGTCGTATTCAAGGATTGGCAGGAAGCATGAGGGTAGAATTCCCTGTGGGACTGGAGACCGGCTCTCGGGCACCCAGGGCAGCCTGCAGGACCATCTGACTTTGCACTCAGTCCCAGTTCCTACACCCACCCACACTCCAACTCACCGCGAGGACAGCTCACTATGTATGAGAACTTGGGCATTGAGAATGCAGGGCATAAGCAACCATCCTTGCCTTTATGAGCCCTGAGGCTGCTAAACAGATCACCAGTGTGCAGTGCTCAAATGGGAACTGAGTAACACCTGGGGGACTGGGAAGCTTCTCGTCAGCCTCAGCCTAAAAGCCAACCTCTTGTCAAGACCTGACCTGAAGAGAAAGTGGGTTTTCTGCCCAAGGGGACTAACCTGGCCACTCTGAGGGCCATCTGTAGGGGTCCCCTGGGGCCCCTGGCTCATTAGTTGGCATGCTGCTTTTCTTTGGAGGCATTTCAGGCCACTTGAGCTTCTTTGAGGTCAAGGCCATGCCTTTGTCCGGGCTGGTTTCCATCTCTGGAACACTGACTTAGCAAGCGAGACTCAGCGATTTCCTACCCCCTGATCTGGCTTAGCTGACCCCCTCGATGCCCTCCTAGTCTCTCTGTTGTGACTCATTCTTCTGTTTTCTAATCTGCATCTGTTCTATTCCACTCATTAATCTCTCTGTGGATAAAATCTACCTTTTTTCCTGTATCCCTGTGCCAGGCTCTGAGCTTGATGCATAGTAAATACTAAGTGGGTGTTTGAAGTGAATGAATAATTGGTGGTGCACTGAGGGGCAAGCCATAAAATGGCAGAAGGGCGTTCTGGTATAAGGATTAAGACTTGCTTCAGGGTCCACTAAGACTTGCTCCATGTGTACCCTAAATAAAAGCCAAGACACTTCTCAAAAACTTGCCTTCCTTACCTGCAAAATGGTGTAAGCTCTTACCTTGCAGGTTTATTGTAAGGATACAAGATGATGTTTGTAAATGCCTTAGCCTTTACATGCTAAGCATATACATTCACCTGTACATACAAGGTACCATGGTAAAATAGATACTGGGCTTATAATCATTTTTCCCTTTACTATGCACTTTGTTGTCTGCAAACTACTAAGGAATATCACACCAAATTGGAGGTTTGTACTGAAAGTAGGAAGACCTTCCACCTCTTCCTGGCCTCTGGTTTCTTGCCCTGGCTTCTTCCTAAAAGGATGGATTGCTACTTGATTTTGTTGGGTTTTGACTGTGAAGTCATGGAATAATTATTCTGCTAACCCTTGTACTTCCCATCACCTGGTGTGTGAAATGAATTTCTCCGGCACAGTGGAAAGGCCAGGCAGGGACCTTGGCGCACTGGTGCTGACACACTGCTCTGCTCCCCCTGGCTCAGGTCACCCTTTTGAGTGACAGGTCTCCGTCAGGCCTCACTGACACTGCTGGGGGCCGGAGAGCCGACCTACCAGGTACTGACATAAATCTTCTGTGGAGTAAAATCTGTTTGTCTGGTGTGGTCAACTCTCTGCTTTGTTTAAAGCTAAAAAAATTTAAAGCTGTTGTTTTTCTTCAAATAGGAAAAGCCCCCACATTCTCATGAGACTACCTACCTTTTCTCCTAATTTGTTGCACTAACAACAGAATCACTGCAGCTGCTGAGCACTGACTTACTGCTGACTTAATTTCATGACAGCCTCATCAGACTGGTAGAGTTATTTGCACTTACGGTTGAGGAATTTGAGGAGCACGACTGTGAGTCCAAGTATGCCTGACTCTGGAGGGTTTACTTTAGCCAGTAAGCCTGACAGCCGCCCTCATGACAGAATAGGGCATGTCTGTTCTGTTAGTCTCCCGACACGTATTGGGGAACTTGGACCTCTCGCAGAGCCTCGTGACCGCTTTCACAGACGTCACATCTGTGGTTTACCAAGTGGCCTCTGTCTTCTATCTCTCCTTAGCTATGGGGTACTGCTTTGGGAGCTACTGACCGGAGAGGTGCCCTTCCGGGGAATTGATGGCCTAGCGGTAGCTTATGGCGTGGCCATGAACAAACTCGCCCTTCCCATTCCTTCTACATGCCCAGAACCCTTCGCCAAACTCATGGAAGGTAAGTGAGCCCTGCCCTGCCCAGAACCAGAGACAGTTTATCTTCCCACCCTCACTTAGTAGATCAGTTACTACAACAAAAAGAGAGAGGAAGTACAGTCACTCAGGGAAATAGATGCTGGGTGGGCATTGGGAAGAGCTACTTCAAGATGATGTCAGCACCCTGCTACCTTGAAGTCGTGGGGACCCATCGTCCGTCTCCAGTGGCCAAAGAACCAAGCTAACAAATGAAAGCCTGCACCCCAGCCCTTGCACATATTATTATGTACTATAAAATAAGGTGCTAGTTGCTCTTTTATTTAGGACTTCAGTGTCATGCATACAGAAATGAAGGCCGTCTGAGAAGAAAGGAACTCTCAAGCCCCGTGATTTTATGAGAACTCCAAAGCCAACTCCAAAGCCAACAGCTGAGAGTACAAAGAGCTCACTTTTCCACTCACGGAGGCACTTTATCCTTGCCATCTCACCTACCCATTGTGGTGAAGAGCAGCCCTTTATTTATAGGGAATTGAAGCCCACAGCTAGAGTTACCCACTGGCAAGATCAGAGTCATATAGACGTGGGAACATAGTAAATTCTAGTAATTGTACTTTATACACGAGAACTCTAGGGTCTTGTTCTCATGCTAAGTCAGTGGTCAGGATTGTGTGGATGCAGAGCTGCTGCTTTTTATTTCCAGTGTCATTGTGATCCTGGGTAGCTGGCTTGATTTCCTCAGCCCTGTCAGACGCTCCCTAATCCCAGTCTCTGATTTTGGAAGGAGAATGAGAGGTAGCTTTGTGGTAAATGAGGTCACGTGGCATCTTGAGCCTTCCGTGCGCCTCCGTCCACTCATGCTTTCTGGCTTTTTGTTCTACGCACGTGTTCTATGCAGACTGTTGGAACCCCGACCCGCATTCACGACCCTCCTTCACGAGTATCCTGGACCAGCTCACCACCATAGAAGAGTCCGGTTTCTTTGAAATGCCTAAGGATTCCTTCCACTGCCTGCAGGATGACTGGAAACATGAGATTCAGGAGATGTTTGACCAACTCAGAGCCAAAGAAAAGGTAAGAAACAAGAGAGAAAGGGATCATTATACCAGTGACACCCCACCAGGGCCTCTGGGCGGATGCCAACATGACCCCATCCTGTTTGGTTTGCTGTAATGGTATATCCTGGAGGGCCTCTCCAGGCCTAGGGTGTGAGGGTCTTTGGGGTGTGGCAGCAGTTAAGTACTAGTCAAGAGGGGGGTTCTCCTTACAGAGTGTCAGCTTTGTGGTCCAAACCAGAGGAAGAAAGCCAGTGGCAGGTACCAGCAGGGGCCTCATTCTGCCCCTAGAGGATTAGAAGGCTCTAGAAAGGTTTCTTGGTTCTGCCGTGGACTTCTCGAGGGAGGCTCACTCGATAAGGCAGTCCTTCAACTTGGAGGTCGGTTAGCAGAACATCCTGCTAGGATCTTCTGGTATCAGAATCAGAGACAGCTTCTGAGTTAGAAATACCAGGAGTCTGAGGTTGTTTGGCATTTTCCTGGTTTTTGTGAAAGGGTTCTAATCCCAAGCCAACTCAGGAGTTCAGGTCCTCTCGTCTTTCTAGAGATCCGCCCTTGTGTTCTGATGGCCCACCCCAGCCAGCCAATCTGGCATTCATGCTGCTCATGCTGCCAGGCCTCCATAAATGGGGTCATTCTTTTCCTCCCTCTCATTACCCCCTGTGGGATAAGAGTAACAAAATTATATTTGTCTTTTTGGTTTCCGAGTCCTTCCATTTGAAAGGTCTGATGAGACCTTTTATCCTGGAGTCTTAAACGGCTCGGCCACCAGCAGACAATGCCGGTGTCATTACCCCTTTTATCTCAAAGCGAAGGGTCAGTCAGTGGTTTGTCTAGTAAGTGGGAAAGCAGAACCTCAGAACCTTGCACTCAGGTCATCTGATTCCAAAATCCTTTTTGCAGTATCATTGATATTTCCCTGAATAAAGGACTTCGAGTCATTTCTGGAACTGATTTAAAGAATTTAAACTTTTAAAATGCAGCATCTCAAACGGTACTGTTTGGCAGGTCAGTGAGCACTCTGCAGGGGATGGAGCGAGCCAACGACAGATTCTGGAGGCCTTGGGGGGCTGGGGATGGGGGGAATCTGTACTGACTGCTGAACAGAATGATACCAGAGACTGTTCCTGTTATTAATGCTTTTCCAACTAGAAGAACCTTCAGAGTGCTGGCCTCAAGTTTGCTTAATCATTGACTCTTGGTTCACTTTTTCTCATTACTTCATAAGGGTAAGGAAAAAGGTTGGATTGTGCCAGCTAGTGGAAAAGTTAAACCCATTCTCAATAATGGCTAATGTTTATAAAGCTTGAAGGATGTGCCAGGTTGTCATAAGTAACTTCTATGCATTTTTTGTGTAAAATGTCACAATAAAATAGTTTTCTTAGGGCATATAGAACCCTGCGAGGTCTGTGTGCTTCACTCCTTATTCTAGCTGAAGCCCTTACAAACTTGGTGCAGACCACAACATGGGCAGTTTGTTCCCAAGTCCTTGCTTTTTCTCTTCTCTCTTCCACTCTCACCCGCAGCTCAGCTTCCTCAATATGCTCTGATGCCTCTATTGTGAGGCTTGGGGGTGGGGGGTAGGGTGGTATTAGGGTAACAGGGATAATGAGCTTTCTCTCGCAAGAATCTTCTTAAATCTTTGCATGTGGAAGATGTGAAGTTGATCCCCAAATAGGCGTTTCTTAAGAAGAGTATTTGCTTGTTTGAGGGGCTTCCAGGTTTATGAAATATAAGCAAATATTCCACACATGTCCTGATTTCTATCTAATTCAGCTCATTCTTCATATTGGTTCCACCTACTGCTTTTAGGCACTGTGAGGGTGGATTGGTTTCTGGACTGGAGTTTGGGTTTCCTGTGAGGAAGAAAAGCCCTACACAAGAGCCTGGAGCAGAGAAGGTCTTAGGAAGGCTGAAGATAGCTTGAACTTTCAAACTTCATTTCACAGCAGAGCCACCCAATCTGGAGTCATTTTTCTTACTCTTTCATGTTTATTTTTCCTTCTTGTTGGTGAAAACAAAGTAGTGGGATAGGGAGCCAGGGATTTGGAGGAGGCACAACAATTCATGTGTTTGGGGATTGTGTCACCAAAGAAGGTAAAATTCAAGAGTTCAAGCTCATCTCTCTGGCACTTCTGCTGCACCTGGTTCATTCATGAAGTTGTCTTCTACCTCCTTATTTATCATTCCTTCACTCATGGGCTCAGCAGTTCATCAACAACTCCTGAACACTTAACTTGTACCAGACAGTTTGCAAGGTGCCAGCCCTCCCTCTTCTCATTTCTTCTCTCTCTGCCATGTTTATGCCTTTTTGGCATTCCCTCAGAAATGGAGGACAAGTTGAGTAAAAAATTCCCAGTGTCAAATATCTTTTTCCCATCCTGTCTCTCCTCTTCTGCTCTCCACCCACAGCTCCACTTTCCCAATATGTGGACACAGACCTTTTTCTTTTTTTTTTAGATGAAGTGTCCCTTTCTGTCCAGTGGACATAGGAGAGGTGGTCTCCTATAGCATTGTTTTTATCCAGAATGACATCATTTCATGAGAAAATTTTTAGTTTTGACCACAAAAGTGTACTTCTGGCTGCTTTATTAAAGAACCTTCCCACTTCTTAGACACGACCCTCTCATGCTAGGCACACAAAGGCTTCTTGTGTTTTGGCCTCCCACCCCCATTCCACTTCAGTCCTAGACCGGGGTTATCAGTGTTAATAGTTGAGATTCCAGATCTAAAAATTTTATACATATGCTTTGTTCTTTTTCCTGTTTTCTCTCCTATTTTCTGAACCCATGTTCCCCATCACATACACACAGCTCATTCCAAGAACTCTGTGTGGGCTTCATTTATAAATTTCATGCAAAACAGAAAAAGGGAGTTAGGGACGAGTTCTGCCCACCTGTTGTCTCCCCCTCCATCCTCAGAGCAAGACAGAAGGGCTAATCTGGACTCACAAAACCAGGTTCTAGTTGGGAAGTTGCCCGAGTCCCACCACCAACCTTCCAGCTTGAGCCTTCTCCTCGGAGGGTGGCTGCTGCGCCACAGAGACTTGCCCTGCTTTGAGACGACCTCTCCTATGTCCACTGGACAGCTTCAGGAGTATGTGATGCAGTAGCAGGCAAGTTCGGTTCTAGAGCAAACAAAGTCCTGGCAAAGACTCGAGGAAACATTCTTTTCTCTCTTTGCTGTGGTGTCATGATCCTTCCAGAGCAAACAATTGTCCTCTCAGATGGAACGAGAGTTCAGACCACAGGTCTCAGTGGAGTCACTCACCGAGCAAACAGATTTAGAGGATATGCCGCACATACCTTTTGAGCAACCACCCTAGACACTTATTTATTTATTTATTAAAGATTTATTTATTTATACAGAACTAGGGTACAGGCCAGAGATGCAGAGAGTGAGAGGATTCACCAGAGACAGAGTGGGGAGCAGAACAGGCAAATCACGAAGTACACTGCGGAGGGGAGCAGTGGGCGGGCCAGGAGAGGTCTGCCGCGCCATGTGGATCTCCGGGGCAGGTGGGATCGAACTCATGTGGAAGTGGCTTAAGCTTCTTAGTGCTGTGCTTTAACCCGCTGCGCCACCAGGGAGGGCCTGACACTTATTTATTTTTATCTGAATGTGAGATAATGCCTGCATAGTGATTCATTTACTGCAGGCATGCTTCCAGAGAGCCTATAAAATGGGCCCTCCTAGTGGCGCAGCGAGCTAAAAGCTCAGCACTGCAAGAGAGCCACAACTGCTTCAGTGCAAGTTCAATCCCCGGCCAGCGGGGTGAACCACAGGGCGCGGCAGACCTCTCCTGTCTCACCCGCTGCTGCCCTCAGCAGTGTCCTTCGGCAGTCATCCTGTTCTGCTCCCCACTCTGCCTCTGGTGTATCCTCTCACTGTCCCTGCACCTCTGGCCTGTACCCAGTTCTGTATGCACAAATAAATAAATCTTAAAAAGAGAGAGATCGTATACAATTGACTCTGGTTTAAAAAAAAAAACCCTCTCTCTAATGAAAAACTGTTAAATAAAATAGAACCAAGTCTGTAAAATTCAAATACACGATTATATTTTCTACCTCTCTTCCCATTTCCCACCCAGTCATGGGCAGTTTTAAATAACCAGGAGCCCCCAGCCCGTCTCCATGGCTTGGCCTGTGGCTTTAGCAACTCTAGTTACCGCACACGGCTGTCTTGTGCCTTCCGTGCGCCATTCGGGGTGGTCAGGGTGCCCTTACTAGCTACCCGCTGAATACCCGGTACCCCTGGGAACTCGCAGAGGAAAGGTCTGGGCTGCGGAGGACGCTGGCCCTCTGGCCCTCTGCACTTCACCTGCGCCCTGAGGCCCTCTCCTCTGACCCTGCAGGAGCTGCGCACCTGGGAAGAAGAGCTCACGCGGGCCGCACTGCAGCAGAAGAACCAGGAGGAGCTGCTGCGGCGCCGCGAGCAGGAGCTGGCTGAGCGGGAGATCGATATCCTGGAACGGGAACTCAACATCATCATCCACCAGCTGTGCCAGGAGAAGCCCCGGGTTAAGAAACGCAAGGGCAAGTTCAGGAAGAGCCGGCTGAAGCTCAAGGATGGAAACCGCATCAGCCTCCCTTCTGGTCAGTGGCCAGGGACCTGCTGGGGGGTGGGAGCCCGCCCAGGGACTGGCGCTGCAGGGCCCCTGGCGTGCCAGGGCCCACGCTTGGGAACTTGAGACTGTGGCTCCCCAAAGCAGAGTGACATTGAAATGGAACGTGGTCTTCAGTGATAAGATGGACCTGCCCAAGGGGAGTTTGAGTGCGACTAAACAGTAGGAGGAGTCGCACTGGTGACATTGGCGGCCGCTGCCCAGCTGCGGGAAGCCGGGCACGCACATAGCACAGCTCCTGAGGGCCCGCCTGGAGAAACCAGTAACTGTGTTCAGCTCCATTTACTTGCCACTGTCGCCGCTCCCTCTCACCGCTAGTCACCTAACAGCAGAAGGGTTTGGGGACATCGCAGGATCTCTAGTGAATTACCGAGCAGTTTGGAAACCGGCTTGGAATGGAGATAAATGGCACTCTGGTCTGGGGACCTTGCGTGCTCTCCGCTAAATTAGGGGGGACTCTGAAGTGTGTGCATGAGACAGAAGAACTCAGCTCAGCTCTGCAAAATATCTCAGGGTTTCTTTCGATCATTAGTTCTCTTTGGTGTGAAGATTGGGATTCAGGTATATGCATTTCAAAAACACGTCGACTGAATGAATTACCAGCCTTGGGAAAAGGCAAAGATGCATGCGGTTGGTTGTGAACTAGAATCTCCGGTGTGTAACGTACCCGTGAGGGTGGCGAGCGCGCCCGTGTGTGTTCACGTAGGTGAGAGTTCATTGCGCCTGGAGGCTGGCGCATCGCGAGTGCAGGAGCAGGCGTGGATGGCGCTCAGCGCTGGGGTGGGCTGACGGACAGCAGGCAGGCAGGGAGCTCGTTTAGAGAAAGCCAGCGAGTGCTTCGTGGGGCCTGTTTACTGCTCTCCTGGTTGCAGCTTTGTCTTCCTTTCAGGCAACATCAAACATCTTTTGAGCATCCCGCCTGTGCCAGCATACTGCTGCATGTGGGAAGCAAATAGAAGAGGGGCTATTGGGGGGTGACAGTCTGGTGGGGAGAGCTTATGCCAGTAAGCAGCAGATTGCCCCGCGCTGACAGACGAGGAGGCCGAAATGCAGAATTCAGAGCTGAGCGTTCTGCGCCATCTCCCTCACTTCCCTGGGCTCCCACCAAGGCTAAGGTCTTATTGCCCTGATGTGCCTGCCTGTCCTGAAACTTCAGTCTCATTTTATTGGCCTCTAAGAAAAGGGGATGGAATGCATGAATAGATGATATGAAGCAGAATTTTATGTGTAATGTTAGGTTTCCTGTACTAATCAAGAGGTCTTGTGATCTTGTTCTTAACATGACCTTTTCTAAATTTCCTAAATGTATCTTTGCAGCATTGTATAGACAGCTTTATGAAAACTGTCTTCAGGACAGCCTCTCAGACCTCACCAGGTCCCTTTGGGTAAAAGAAGATTCTAAAAGAGAACACTTCTAGGGAGTCTAAGTCCCCCAAACCTGCCAGGAATCTCCGTTTTTTCATGAATTTTGTGACAGAAAAATTCTAATGCAAACTCACCTCTGATTTCCCCTCGCAGATTTCCAGCACAAGTTCACGGTGCAAGCCTCCCCCACCATGGATAAAAGGAAGAGCCTCATCAACAGCCGCTCCAGCCCTCCTGCAAGCCCTCCCATCATTCCTCGCCTTCGAGCCATCCAGTGTGAGACTGTTTCCCAAATTAGCTGGGGCCAGAACACGCCAGGGGCGCCTGTCCCCTGCTCTGTCCAGCCACCGCCTGGCCCAGGCTTGCTCCATCCATAACTGCCACTTCTCCTCGACAGTGTGTCTGTGTACGCACATATGTACGCAAACCCTTGGCCGTCCCCGTCTCTCTCCCCATTAACTACTGCTGTTGCCGCTCACTTTTACCCTTCGCCACGTAACAGCAAGGGACTTTATGGGTACTGACAGGCTCTTTCATGAATTACAAAGCAGTTTGGAAACTATGTGGGATGTAGCCATAGATTGGTGCTCTTGGTCTAGGGATCCTGTGTGCTCTCTGCTGTTTTTCTTTCTCAGGGAGGGGCCATTTCCTAGCATCAGTGCTAAGGAAACCTGCCACCTATTTTATAGTAGACTGAATCTGGACCAGTGTGATTTTTTTTTATTATTATTATTATAAAGTTTTTTTTTATAACAGTTTGTTTTTACAACATTTGTACATTTTTTTTTCCATCTCCATTGTAATCCCCACAGGTTTCCCATCACCAAGTCACCCGTGTGCCATCACTATAATCCCGTGACCTTCCCTCCTCCCCCACCCCCTGTTTTTGATCCCATTCCCCACTCCACCCCTGCAAAATGTCTCTGGTATATGGTTGTTCATTATTCTTGTTATTTTCTCGCCTGGACCAGTATGATTTTTACAGCAACGTTTGTTAAATATTTTATGCATACACAAGCACATACACACCTATACAATATGCTTATATATATATATATATATGTATATATATATATATATACACACACATTATGTGGCATGAATGAGTTTCCCTTATTTAATGGTAGATTTTTTTGTAAGAAAACTCAACTTGGATTTCTGACTTTGCTTAAAAAGTCATCAAATCAGGGGATTTGATAAGAAAAAATTCCCTTTTTCATATGGCTACAGTTGACTGGACTAAGGACAGTGACAGTGTGCTCTGGATTTGCTTGAACCCTACAGTTCCGTATGTTGTGGTCACTGGCTCATTTCACTCGTTGATGATGTGAGATCAGCCTCTGAAGCATTTGGGTTTCAACCCTTGCTCTGTGGTGTCATTGTCAAAAGAATATTCTTCCTCTCTAACCTGTTTTTTCCTTCATGCGCCCCGTGCACCCCCCCACCCCCGCCCCGAACTTCCTTCTCTATAATCTCGAGTTTCTCATTCTCTTCCTTTCTGGCACTTTCTTACCAAAATGTCTAATCACTTCTTCCTTACCCCTGATCTTTTCTCTTTCGCACCTACTTTACCTGTCTCCTCGGTCCAGTTCATCCCAACACAAGAAGTCCATTAGGACACAGTTTGGAACTCTGCTGTCTGGCTGGCCTGAGTTCCTAGTGTACCTTGCACTTCCAAGAATCAGTTTCCCCACGCTTGGTACATGGGGGGTGCTGAGAACCCCACCACTCTCCCGGAAGTTCTGCTCAGTTTTTGAAGAGGTCTGACTTCTTCTCTGTAGCTCCACCTTGTGTGTGTGCCTCATGTGGGTGGGTGCGTGTGTGTGAGTGTGCTGGATGGGGTAGAGGCTAGTTTGGGGGGATCCTGTTTCCCAAGTCCCACCCAACCCTTGTTATTCACAGTGACCCCTGGAGAAAGCAGCAAAACTTGGGGCCGGAGCTCCATCATCCCAAAAGAAGAAGGGGAGGAGGAGGAAAAGAGGGCCCCCAAGAAGAAGGGGCGGACTTGGGGGCCAAGCACACTTGGTCAGAAGGAGCTTGCCTCAGGAGATGAAGGGTAAGAGCCACATAAAGGTGGGTGGGCACACATTTTGAAAAGCGTGATGTGAAATGCCCTTTTCCCTGGTGTGTTTTACTGCTTTCTGCGGAATTGCAATTTCTTGATCTTTATCATAGAGTCTTATAATCTGACCCCTGTTCTCTTAGGACAGGGGCTGTTATTCTTTCCATAAAGGGCCAGAGATAAATACTTTTTAGGCACTGGGCTGTGTAGCTTCCGTTGTTTCTAATGTTGCAGTTCAGAAGCCGCCACAGACCTAGACCCTGTGGAGGCCCTCGAGCATGGCTGTGTCCAGCAAAGGTTTGTGCCAAAAGGTGGTGGGCAGGTGCTAGCCCACCTCTCCAGCTGCTGACCCCTGGAAACGCCTGCTCAGAGCAGCAAGTACCAAATGTGAGCTGATGTGAAGAGCTCTCCTTTTCCCCTTAACATATTTGTCAAGAAAAAGAAACAAGACACCCCAGGGGTTACGAGGTTGAAGGGGCTCGTCCTGATGTCGGGGTGGGCGAACAGTCCGGCCCCGCAGGTGCAGATGGCCACAGCTCCATGGCTACTAGCACTTCTTTTAGGTCCCTTCCATGGCCACACTGAGGTGCGTGAGCAGGGCCTCATTCTTTGTAGGCGAATCACTTCTTGTGAAGTAGTTGGAGCTTGGGTGCTGACCTCAGGCCGCCTGGTGTGAACCCCGACTCCACTGCACACAGCCCACAGCCGTGTGGCCTGTCTCCTCACCTCTAAAGTGGGAATCCTATCAGTTCCCTTCTCAGGGGATGAGAGCATGAAATGAGTTCGTGTTTGTGAAGGGCGTAGGAGATTGGCTGACGCATTGTAAGCCTGTGTAAATATTTGCTATGATGATTCTTCCATGCTTTTCATGCAAGATCTGTTTCATACCTGAAGTATGAACATCATGGTTTATATTTCCTGTTCTTGGTATTAAGGTCTATGACTTCTTGACTTTTCAAACCATAAGCAGCAACCTCCTTCACCCTTTTTTAGTGACTTTCCAAGAGGTGCCCTGAAGCTGTAGTTAACCTTGGTATTCCTTTGAATACTTAAGTGTCCATATCCAAAATCTATCTCTATAGAAGATGTAAATAGGGTCTCCCTGATGGCTGAGGGGTTACATCTCAGCGCTATCACTGCTGAAGGTCTGACTTCAGTCCCCGGGGTGGTGACCCACATGGTGCAACAGACCTCTCCTGTCTTGCCCGCTGCTCCCCTTAGCAGTGTACTTCGTCGATCTGCCTGTTCTGCTCCCACTCTGCCTCTGGTGAGTCCTCTCACCTCTCATACTTCTGGCCTACACCCCATTCTTCTATGCACAAAATAAGTTTTTTTTAAAAAAAAGGTGAAAATTGCTGTTTGATTCATAAAGGATGGATTCTTTGGGTCAGGCTTTGAAACAGGTAGAGATATGTAGGGCAGCCCCCTAAGCTGTGCAGTAATTTAGTGACTGAACCCCCTGGGATGGGAACTTGCTCCATGTACTAAGTTCTGCAGGAGCAAGAAGTCCTGCTCACTTTGTTCTCTGAATCCAGGTCTGGAGTAGAGTTGAGCTAAGTCTGAGAAACCCAGTTACCCTGACTCCCTTAGTATTTCTGACATCAGTATGATTCTAGATATGATTTACCAGGGTGACTGTGGGCCCTTATAGTTTCTATGAGGCTTCTTCCTTCAAAGATATATTTTTATTTGGTGAGTAAATTTATTTTTTTTAGTAAATTTATTTCATGTTATAAAATATTAACTTTGTGATTATTCTCCACATGCAGATTTGCATTCATAAACTTTGCATTATTTATATTTATTTTATATCATTGCTCATTTTTGTACAATATTTGCTTTCTCCTCTCAGCTGTAGTTCCCCTAAAATTCCCACCAATACTCACCCGTGAACTATCACCATAGTCCCTGTGCTCTTCCTTCCCTGTTCTGATCCCTTTCTTTTTCCCTCCTCTGTAGAATGTCTCTGAGTTATAGATACCTGTTAATTTTGGGTTATTATTTACTGTTACTATTTTCTTCCTGAGCCCGTATTTGGTACCCCGGTATTCTTCCTATGAATGAAACCATCCAATATTTTTCTTTTTCGTGAACATAATCCTGTCCGTCACCATGCAGGTTGCTGCTAATGGCATGTGTTTATCTTTTTGATTGCTGAGTAATATTCCATTGTGTCTATATACCACATCTTCTTGATCCAGTCATCTTTTTTTTTGGGAGGGGGGCATTTGGGTTATTTCCATATCTTACCTATTGTAAATAATGCTGCAGTAAACATAGGTGCACTTATAAACTTCTGAAGCAGTTCAAAATATGTGAGTTAATTTTCCCTGAGTCTTAACCCCTAATTGAAGAAGTAAAAGTGTATTCCATCCACTCTCCAATTAAGCCCTCTTTGATATCAGACATGTTAAAAAGCCTCTATATGATATTTATAATTTTAGTTCCTGGTGACTGAAGAAATGTAATGACAAAAGTGAATCCAGTAATGTTAAGTGAATTTGCATTTTCATCCTTTTAAAGACTGGCTGCCCAGGGACTTTGTCCTATAGCACCTCAGCCTGTAGCAGGTCACCTAACTAGGATTCTTTCATGGTGTGGGCATGGCTGACTGCACTAGGTGGGGAGAGGAGGGCATCTGCCATGTAACTAAAGCCCAGCCCTAGACTTCTTTAGTGGGAGAGACTGGGCTGGATGGACTGCTGTGCCTGCTACTGATTCTCTTTATTCATTGAAGATCCCCTCAGAGACGCGAGAAAGCTAATGGTCTAAGTGTCCCATCAGAATCTCCACATTTCCACCTGGGGTGAGTCTAATCTTCACCCTTTCATTAAATGTCCTGGTGATACTCTCCCTCCCATTGTCTTGTTCTCACAGAATACCCCATAGAATCACCCTCATATTTGCCAGGACTGTGCTGACTCCATTTTCCAGGCAACACCACTGTGCACCTTGGGAGAATTCCTGTGTTGGTCTGACTTTCCCATTGCTCACTTCCCTGAGCACTTCTGTTGTTGGGATACTCCAACCAGGTCTCCCCCAGTTTTAAGGAGACAAGACATAACTTACCCTTTGCTCTTTAACACTGGCTAATCTGGATTTCCTTGGATCCCGAAACTGGAGGGGATGTTATAGATTGATGATCAGTTAGAATCTCCCATGTAGGGGGTTAGTACGCTTACCTCGGCCTCTGTATTTTGGCATAACCGGGATGTCTTTTATTTCACTAGTATTTCTGATAGCACTTGAAACACAGATCTGAGGTCAAGGAAAAAAAATTGGCCCTTCTCGCTCTCAGCTGGCCTGGGACTCTGTGAAGAGTGGACTTTAATTGAAGGGCTCTTCTTAGCCCCAGAATGAGAGCACCACTGGTTATAATCCTGGTAGCCCCAGAGTAGCCATCGCCTTTGGATTCCTTAGTGCAAGCTCCCTCTTACTGTCCTGTGGAGAAAAGGCCACTGCTTCTGTATCTCTGGCTCTCCCATCCTGTAAGAGGTTGGCGGCCTACCCAGTCTGTATCCTCTGGGTTACCAGCTTGCCAACATGAACTGATTATAGGAATTTAAAAGTGAGCCCTGGTCCATTTCTTCCTTATTCCCAGAAAAATGATGACTTGGGTATGGCACATAGGTCTATCCCAAAGTGCACTGGGTCGGCACAGCCCTGTTGGTTGATTTTTGTTTTTGAAAAGTGGTTGGCTTGGAGAGTTGCCTAAGCATGCCATAAGCTTGGAAGGGAAACTGGAGAAATGTGAGTGGAGTAGTCTGGCCCATCTCTGCTCACTCACCACCCACCCAGTGCTTGCCTTGCATTCAGCGTCGTTGCATTACAGTATTCTGATGCCACCAGGGTGTGTACTCAGTGTCTCCCTAAAGATGGCCCCAGGTAAGACCTGGCTAGCCCTAGGCAGTCCTCATTCTTTATGTCTCTCGCCAGCCTGCCCATCAGACCTTCCCACAGCTCCCACAGCATGTGAAGGGGATGGGCAATGCCGCTTTTCTTTCTCTAGAGCATGTGCACTTTTGTAATGACATGGGAGGCTCAGCAAGGCTTATTGCTGTATCCCAAGGCCCTTGGGTTTTGGTGTAATGGCGTAGCGAAGGAGAGAGATTTCCATCGGCCCATGAAGCAGAGAGTAGAGTAAGGGGAGTGACAGTTCTAACAGCTTCTTCGTGTCCTCTCCTTCAGCCTCAAGTCCCTGGTAGATGGATATAAACAGTGGTCGTCTAGCGCCCCCAACCTGGGGAAAGGCCCGAGGAGCAGCCCAGCTCTGCCAGGGTTCACCAGCCTCATGGAGATGGGTAAGCTTTGCCCTTCTTATAGCGATCTCCCTTTATCCTCAGGGGATTCTTGGCCAACCTTCTAGGGCTGTTCGAGGGCCCCCAGTATCACTACAGGGGCTCCTGGTCCCCGTCTCCTCTCTGAGCTCGCCCTGCTCCCATCTCACTGAGCCTTCCTCAGTCATTGTTGCTGCCATGGAGACTGACCCTAGCCACCTTGCCCAAGGACCAGGTGTCCTCTCAGGGTGAGGTCCAAAGGGTGCCAAAGGATGAAGCCCCAAATCAGACATTTCTCTTCTGTTTCTTCATATTTTAATGTGGGGAGTCTGCAAAATAGAAATGGTGGTAGAAGACACTGAAGTCTTTCTCCAAGGAAGCGTTCCATTGTTGTCCTGTGGTTACTGAATAGTCTTTTCTAGGCTCTCTCTCTCTCTCTGCCAGGCTTTTATCTTTATAGATTTCCTGGGTCACAGGACCTACAGTAGGTCAGTCTGTAGAGGAGCTTGGCTTTTACCCATGTAGGGAGTTTTGCTCCTTTGCAGGAGATCAAGCTTCAGACATGTCTCTAGGCCACCATTCTAGAGATTCTGAATTTCTCCCACACTTTACGTAGGAAGTATTAAGGGACAGTTCTGCTGTACCAGTGTTCTAGGAAATCCCTCCTGCTCTGCCTGTATAGTGGTACATAGTACTCCTAATTTGGAGTAGCAAGTCCTTTTCTGTAAATGGAGAACAGTGTCTGGAATGGAGGGTGATTTCCCTGCATTGCTCCGAGCAGAGTAGAACTCTGTTGTTTTAGTGCCCAGTTGGGTGGCCTCCCTATCAGGCTCTGTGCCCTCCACATTCCTGACACTACTTAAGGAGCCCCGGGGTAGGGAAGAAGGACCAATTTTTACTCTTGCTTCTTCATGCCCATCCCCCCTCCTCTCCTCTCATCTTCGCAGAGGATGAGGACAGCGAAGGTCTGCAGATCGGGGAGAGTCGTCTACAGCATTCACCCAACCAGCCCTACCTCTGTATCCCATTCCCTCGTGGAGAGGATGGGGATGGCCCCTCCAGCGATGGAATCCATGAGGAACCCACCCCAGTCAACTCAGCCACCAGTACCCCCCAGCTGACACCAACCAACAGCCTCAAGCGGGGCGGTACCCACCACCGCCGCTGTGAGGTGGCCCTGCTTGGCTGTGGGGCTGTTCTTGCAGCCACGGGCCTTGGATTTGACCTGTTGGAAGCTGGAAAGTGCCAGCTGCTTCCTCCAGAGGATCCTGAGCCACCAGCCCGGGAGGAGAAGAAGAGGCGTGAGGGTCTCTTTCAGAGGGCCAGCCGTCCTCGTCGGAGCACCAGCCCCCCATCCCGAAAGCTCTTCAAGAAGGAAGAGCCCATGCTGTTGCTAGGAGACCCTTCTGCCTCACTGACGCTGCTCTCTCTCTCCTCCATCTCTGAGTGCAACTCTACCCGCTCCTTGCTGCGTTCCGACAGTGACGAGATCGTGGTGTACGAGATGCCCATCAGCCCAGTCAAGGCCCCGGCCCTGACCCCCTGCACCCACAACCCCCTGGTCAACATCCGAGTGGAACGCTTCAAGCGAGACCCTAACCAGTCCTTGACTCCCACCCATGTCACCCTTACGGCCCCTGCACAGCCGAGCGGCCACCGGCGGACTCCTTCCGATGGGGCCCTTAAGCCAGGGGCCATCCTCGCCAGCAGGAGTCCCTCCAGCAATGGGTTGAGCCCCAGCCCTGGAGCAGGTGAGACCTGGCCTCCTCTCTTCTCTTTGCTGCTTCTGGGCCTGCCCTGGGAGTGGAAGTCTCGGAGGGAACATCTTTCCTCCGCAGACTCTGTCCTTGGAGGTGCACTCATGCGGGTGGAGAAGGTTGCCAGGGTCAGCTAACCTCTCCCGGTGACGCGGGGCCTCCCTTGAAGAGTGGAAGGAGACAGGCAATATCCAGGAAGCAAGAGATGGGGCTTCAGGGCACACCCTGGATCTTAGATTGTGTAGTACTTTCAGGGTCCAGTTTGAAAACAGCCAGACAGGACTCTCACTCACGCCCCAGAAAGCCAGACCGAACCAGGAGAATGGCTTGTCAGAGCTTTTCCAGGTGGCCCCAATGGAGCTGGCAGGATTAACTCCCTGAACATCAGCCCCCCAAATGGTGGGGTGCAGGGATTATGTACTGGGCAAAAGAGGGTGAGCTGGTGTGGGACGTGACGGAGTGAGGGGCCTGGCTGAGATGCCAGGAGGCGCCTGACAGTGAAGGTGTCATAAGTTACATATTTATCTTCCGCGGAGCTGTATCTTTGAGGCTAACAGCCCATTAACAAACAGTAGGTGCTTGCCTTTAATGTCATCCTCTTCCTCAAGGGGCACAGAGATTTCTGTTAGAGATGTAATACAGTCAGTTCTCAAGGTTCCGGGAATGCAGTCGGGGAATAAATGCCAAGGGAGTCGGGAAGAAGAGAGAACAAAGGGTGTATTTGGTTCCTAAGTTTTTGGTTCTGCTTAGTTAGCTTTTCTGATAAAAAGATTAAGCTACAGGTTACAGGGTGGTGGTGAAGGCCGGACTACGCTCTCAGGGCCCGGGAGAGGCAGGAGTCTAGCTCTGGTTCCTTGAAGGGAAGGTTGAAGTTACTGCAGGAATCCAGCCCTGAGCCTGGGAGGGTGTTTCTGCCACGTAGCCGGGACCCGCCCAGCACCACAGCCCTGTACGACACCCCCATGGCAGCCTCTGCCCGCTCGCTCACATCCTGTCGCTCACCCTGACTCAGGTGGGGTTCCTCCGAGCGTGTAGTGGTGTCCAGGTAAGCGGCTGTGCCTCCACCTTCTAGACAGGTACTCCTAGGACTTCCCACGCTGTCGCTCCCTAAAAGACCTAGCTCACCTCTCACCCAACAGAACAGGGGGTGGCAGTGAGATCTGAGTGCCAGTGACACTGACTTACTTCTCCGCTGGCCCTCCTTGCCTGCCACTTTTTGTTCTCCTCGGGTTGGTGTCCGAGCTTGGTGTCCAGAAGTAGACTCGTCATTAGATTGCTGATACCTGGCTTTGTTCCTGCCCCTTGTTTAATGTTTCACAGCTGGATGATGTGTCAGTGACTAAACAAGTTATTTCAATATAGCTGTCACCCCAAAACGTCCTGTCGTTGTCAGGTAAGGGACATGGCCTTCCTGTTCACTTCCCAGAACACGGCACAGCATAGCATCTGGTCTTATTAAGCATTTGTCACTCACAGTGTCCCAGGCAAATGCGGGCTGTGGCAGGGTGGGAGGAAGCACCGTGTACCTGATCTGGAAATACGGTGTCGTAACCTGATGCCTCTCCCATTGTCTCTTCGCCCAGGAATGTTGAAAACCCCCAGCCCCAGCCGAGATCCAGGTGAATTCCCTCGTCTCCCGGACCCCAATGTGGTCTTCCCCCCAACCCCAAGGCGCTGGAGCACACAGCAGGACTCTACCTTGGAGAGACCCAAGACCCTGGAGTTTCTGCCTCGGCCGCGTCCTTCTGCCAACCGGCAGCGGTTGGACCCCTGGTGGTTCGTGTCCCCCAGCCATGCCCGCAGCGCCTCCCCGGCCAACAGCTCCAGCACCGAGACACCCAGCAACCTGGACTCCTGCTTTGCCAGCAGCAGCAGCACTGTGGAGGAACGGCCTGGACTTCCAGCCCTGCTCCCGTTCCAGGCAGGGTCGCTGCCCCCTGCCGAGCGGACGCTCCTGGACCTGGACGCAGAGGGCCAGAGTCAGGACAGCACGGTGCCACTGTGCAGAGCTGAACTGAACACACACAGGCCTGCCCCTTATGAAATCCAGCAAGAGTTCTGGTCTTAGCATGAAAAGGGCTGGGGATGGGCAAGGGGGAAGCAGGAAGAGATGTGGGAGCTGGCTGGCACAGCCCTTTCTTAGAGTTGGACCCCCAAGATCCAGCCCTACTTCTTGCACTGATAATGCACTTTGAAGATGGAAGGGATGGAAACAGGGCCACTTCAGAGGGTCTCCTGTCCGGCAGGGCCTTTCTACCCATGTCCACTGGAGGGGCTGTGGCCGTCAGCTCTGGCTGTGTAGGGGAGGGAGGGGTGCGTGCATGTCCTCTACCCTCCACAGTCTTCCTCGCCTTTCGGGTGACCCTGCAGTGTCACTCAGCCAAATACGTCTGCTGCTTCCTCTCCTCTGCCCTGGGTATGCCCTGAGTCTGTCCTGGGCTTCCTGTGTTGCCCTGAGGTCAGCCTTCCCAGTTACCAGTATTGGATATTCTGTGATTGGTTTTGCTCCTCTTTCACATTCTCCCCCTCCACCCATAAATCAGAATCTCATTTGGTATAAGATATGAATGAGCTTTTCTGTGTCTTAAGCCCTTTCATGCCAGCTGGAGGGCTGAAGACCAGATGCCTGGGAGGGGAGGCATACAAGAATTGACGGACCTGGCATGACCTGCCTATTCTCCCAAGTGCCCCAACTTAGACAAGTAGTGGTCAGGGGACTTGCCTCTCTAGCTGGGGAGAGGTGAGGGGCTCAGAAAAATACAGCCAGGTTGCAGTAAAGAGTTAACGGTCTGTCCTTGTCCCCTTTTGGAAACACAAAAAAGGGAAGAAGGCAGCCCCTGGGGCCTAAGGCACCCCTCTCCTAGCTGGGATCTGGAGAGGCGTAAGCCAGGTTCTGATACAACATGTGCTCATCTCAGGAATAGATTCTTGGGAGATTCACTCACTGGTGCCAGTTCTGAAGTCAGACAAAGTTCCATGTTTGTCGCTTGTCTGATCTTTGTGTTGTTCCCCTCCCTGATCTCTCTTCCAGTCCCTGGGCTGAGAGACTTGGGATTATGTGTTCGCTCAGTAGGTATCTCTGTATTGCACCAGAATAGCATAGGGGAGTGGGCCCTGGACCTGGGAATTGGAACCATTGGGGCTCCTCAGCCAGGCATTGCTCTGTGATGCCCGTAACAGAACGGAGCATGCGTGGTCCATTCTGCAAATGGGCGTGGTGAGGTGATGTCGCTTGTAAGGTGCTTGGTGAGCCACTGGTACCGTAACCGTCAAGTCCCAAGCACTGCAGGCTGGGCAGGGCTGCTTGTCTCTGAATATAGATTCCCCCTGTGCTGAGCTCAACAACTGAAGTCAAGTCCACCTTTTCTCAAATTTGTTTCCTTAACTTGAATGTTGAGCTTCTTCTGGAGCCTTCTCGTGTATCTTCTCTATCCACTCGGGGCCTCCAGTGTCAAGCGTAGATGTGGTCTTTGGGATGACAATTTGATTGTGAGCAAAGTCTTCTTCCCTCAGAACTCTAAAGACCTCACTGTCTTCCATCATGGAATATTCTGTGTTGGAGGCCTGTCTGCGGGCTCCTGACACTTTCTACCTGGGTGCCAGGACCAGGAGTGGTGATGCTGACACTGATGGGGTCACTACTGTATCTGTGCCATGGGGATGACAAAAGGGGTGGCCTTGGTGTTCAAATTTCTCCTCTTTATGAGCCCACTGGAACTTCAGGTGAAGGAACTGTTGGTTTTGTTTTTGCATCTCATCTGTCTCCTCCTCTTTGTTCAGAGAAGACAGTACATAAGGGGTTATGTCTGCCCCTAAGCCCTCATTTCTTGACTGGAAGAGGGAATATGTGAATTCCATTGGTGTCCTTGTCAGCCTTATGACCTCCCCCCCCTTCTTGATGGCAGAATCAGATAGCACCTCTATAAATCCTTGGTCCCACTCAGTGGTCCTTGTGAGATGCAGCTCACAGTGCAATCCAAGCCATTCCAGCCCTGGACATGCTCTGTGGTGTGAGGCAGGGATTTTTCCTTTGCTCATTTTCTCCTCTGTCCTTTTGTTAGGTTGCAACTATCTTTTTCCAAGTGGTGGTGCAACTGCCATTGAAGTTGAACCCAGTTTTTACTCATCCATCCATGGCAAAGACAAGGGAAAGCAGGGTCTATACAAGGGAAGGACTGTGTTCAGAAGTAGGGATATTCTGAAGATACTTCTGTGCATAATCATCCAAAAAATGGAGGAGTTGCCATCCTGCTTCTCCACACTTGGTCTCCGATAAGCTCCACCCACCACTCTCTGTGGGGAAGGACTGGATGGAATAGAGTCTCTCTGGTAATGATTGGAGTGGCTTTCTCTCCTATATGTCAGTGGCCATGGTCAAGAGCTCCCTGGAAGCTAAGGACCAGGCTTCTCCAGTGGTCACAGCTGGCCGCCTCTTCCCTTGCTGTCTTGTTCCTCAGAGAGTTTCCTGCTCTCTGCAGGCGCACCATTGTGTGAAACAGAGAAGACAGACCCCACTTTCAGCCCCTTCTTTCATCTTCAGCTTCCTCCACTGGTTATAAACAAAATCATCCTCTGTTCAGCCTGGTGGAGTCCTGGCCACTCCCAGGGCTAGGTAGATGTTCCAGGTATCTTTCTATGCTATTTCTAAATGGTTTTCATTGATGTGTTTAACTTCTCATACTTCATTATCCCAAGGTCTGGGAATAATAGTGATGATCACGATGGATTATTATATCAGCTATATGTACCAGTATATTCGGACAATTTAGAATATTGCTCATTTCCTCCTGGCCTTTGCAAAATTACAGCATTGTCCTACCCCATTTGCTAAACTTGCTGGTAGAAAAGAGGAAATATTTCAAGGCAAAAGCTTCAAGTGAAGAAGCATTTAAAAAAACAATAGCTGAATCTGGCACAAGGCTCTGAGACCTGAACAAGTTAGCTTTATTTCCATCTGCTTTTGCTTTCTGACCTTGGGCTGGTCTCTTAATCCCTCTCACATTTCCTTCCTGTAACAGCAAACCCCGCCTGCTTCCCACAGGGGGCAGTGGAGAAGGTGGGTCTCTGAGGCAGTTGCCTCCCTTCTGGCGAGTCTGGCCAGTTGCCAAAGCTGATTCTCACCGACTTTGTCCAGGAACTCACCTTCCGTTCTTCTTTTAGCTTCTGGAAGAGCGATTTGGCTTAGAGTGACTAATGGAGGCCATGGCCAGGCACGCGTGGTTTTACTGTACCTACATAGCACCTGGTATTTACATTCATCCTTCATTCCCCGACTGGTCAGGCCCATCACCTCCACCGTTAGTGTCTTACACAGAGTAGGGATGGGGAATCTGGAGGGAATTTCAGAATGATACCTTGGCGTCCCTGACTTCTTGGGGTCATTCCAGGGCCTGATTTGTTCAGAGACTACTAAGGCCAATTTGTGGGAGAATATTGGGAAAGGGTCTTTGGGACGCATATTATGGCACAGGATTCCTCACAAGGCCCCATTTCCCTCAGACTGGGGTGCTCAGGGACACAAGGCCCGCCTTCTTGACACTCCCGCTCCACAGCACCCACATTGAACCCCTTTATCTCAGGAGGGAGATACCTCCTAAGGACTCCTGACTCTTCAGGCTCACTTTTGACAAGGGCCAGAGCAGTGGGGAGTGAGGGCTAGATGGCCAGGAATGGTTTCCTCTGGGTTGAAATGACTGTCCAGGAGCCCACTAGGGCCATGAATGTGGAACCTGGACTTTTCCTCCTGTGCTTAACTAACGCACCTTTCACTCAGCAGTGTGAGGGCCCAGCCAGGCAGTCAGAAACATTTGTCTCCTCCTGTAGGACTGGGAGGGGAGAAGCCAGCGCTGCCGTGAAGGGAGGGCCCTGCTTTGCCTGAGGATCCCCTTGAGATCATAGACCTGGGTGAGAGTTGAGACCAGCCCACAACATGTGAGCATGGCAGCAGCAGCATCCAAGTCTGGATGTCTGAACAGCCCACTTGCTGTTTGTGTGCAGTTGCAAATGTCTCTGACCCTCTCTGGACCTCAGAACCCACCCATGAGGGAGGAGGATGCTGCCTGGCTCCCCCACCCCACCCCAAACATAAAGGCCCTCTAAATGACAAATGCCTGGTCTTGGAGCTGTAGGTCCAGCTCTGGTAAGTCTCGCTTGCTGGATTATTTCCCTTTGTAAAGAATGAGAGAGTGTAGGTGTATGTGTATTGGGGGGCAGAGGTTATAGGCCAAAACAGGCAGATCTCAGCAATTTCATACGCTCAACCCCCCCAAAGCACGTTGCTTTTCTTTCACTCCCAGGCTTTCTCTCACTGGTGGTTAGGGACACATCCCCACGTGTCTTTCTCTCAGACACATGAGTGGTTCCCTAGATCAGGAATCCAAGTGAGTAAATATCCACATCATGAAGTAAAGAGCCCCACTGCTTCTGAGGAACCCCAGTTCTGCCCTGGCTTTTTCCTGGCCTGGCCACCTGGCCTTTGCCACCCCTGGCACTGGAGTTGCAAGGCAAGAGGCAGAAACTGGAGCCCTGGCCGCTGGAGGCTAATTAACAGGGCTGAGGTGCCAAATGAGCCTGACCCAGACCTGGACTCCTGGCTGGTGGTGGCCGTCAGGGGCACCCCTCATCAACTTCCTCTGACTGAGGAAGAGTTTTCTTCCTGAGGGGAGATTGCCAGGTCCCAGCCTTCTTTGTTCATTCCCCATCATGGGCCCTGGACGCATCCTGACCTCCCTGGGCTACCCTGGGAGCCCTCGCTCTTCTTCAGAATTCTGGACTCAACCTGGAGCCAGTAGGACTGGTCCTTCCTGATTTTCACTGCTTGTGTTTGCCTGTATCCCCTGCCTAGAGCCTTGTTTTGGTTCCTTGGCTCAGACTGCAGCCAACATGGGGCCCCCGTTGGCTACCGGAGCCAGGAACTGTTCACACCTTTCTTTGTTTCTCTTGGAAACGAATCTACCTTTCCCTAGACCTATCTCGCCCATCAATGGGCTGACTCCCCTGGCACAAACCCACAAGTCAGTTTTCTAAACTGATTGACAGACTGAACCTGAGGACGAAATAGGTGCTCCGGACGGGATGCCAGGATCCAGTTCCAGAAGCTCAGAGACAGCCTTTTCTACTGGGACCCGTGGGGTGGCTCTCTTGCAGGTATGAGCCCAAAGGGCCGACCGGTGTCTGAAGAGGGGCCTGCTGAGCACAGATGCGATGTGTGAGTGTCCCTCTCTCTGCACTTACTGACGTCCAAGACCAGGTTTCAAAAAGAGTAAGTTCCCACCTTCCAGAAATCCTTCCCATCCAGACCGTGCCCTCACAGAGCCTCTATTTTAAATGTTCATATTGTCTTCATCATGAGTTGTTTGCATTCATTTAGTTTTCAAATTCACGTTGATTATAATTTATTTTACTGAGTTTCATCCATACACTCAAAGTCTGCATTCAAGGTGAGGGCTTCACTCGCCTTGCCTGACCCTCACCTGGATCTGTGAACATTTGGGCAGAACTGTGAGTTGATGCCAGGATTTTCCTTACAAGAGTAGGGTGCTACTTTCTGGGTGTGTCTGATTTTTAATAGGACTTTGTTGGCTTACAACAATGAAACAGTTTGTGCAGTTTTCAGCTTTGGACCTGCATCTGAGGGTGACTTTTCATGGATGTCCTCTAACGCCCTCAGCATCTCTGAACCCTGAAGACATTTAGACGTGTGTGTGTGTGTGTGTGTGTGTATCTCGTGTTTTGGGAAAAAGGGAAGTTACTACAGTAAAGCAAAAAATTACAATCTTCAGGACACCTTTGAATTTCTGAGATGTGAAGAAATGTCGCTCATTCTGTCTTCCAGTTCTCAGAAAGGATTGCAGTGGGTGGAGGTGTTTCCCCTCCCTCGCTTGCCAAGAGTGCGACCCTACTCTATGCCTGGCCCACAGAGAGCCTCGTGTCGGCCATCGTGTTGCTCTCACAAGTGTCGTTTCCATGACCATACTCTCTACTGTCTTTATTTCATATGCATCATTTATTTCTACCTCCACTTCGAGAAACCACGCTGCCTGTGGCTCTTTTCTTCATCACTGTCAGAGTGAGACATGGGTTTATCCTGGCCTGGGTATGGAGATTAACACTAAATGACCTGAAGCCATTACATTTCTTCCATGTGGGAGGTACTGTCTGCAACATTTATGTTTTTACTTTTTGGGGGGGCTCACAATCATTTGGGGAGGCTGAGGCACAGACATTTGTGTAACATGCCCAAGGACGCAACATGCCCAATCTGCTTGGCCCCAGAGTTGCCCCTTGCTTTTATCAGCACATTTTAGGTCTCTCTTTAGAAGCCCAGGGATAAAATCGGCCTCGCTTAGATGCATCTAGCCTTTGAGATGGCTCTTTGTCCAGGAAGGAGTTGTCCTGCGGCTAAGCCTCTTGCGAAGGAAACCCCCCAGCAGGACTTGCAGCCTCCCCCAAGCTCAGCTGACTTCTCTTTGCTCCTGACTGCTTCCTCCTCCACCATTTCCCCTCGGTGAGGTTTCAGGGAATGTGTCGATTCTGTAGCTCTTCTCTCAGGTCCATGGAAGCCTGTGGGTCTGTCTCCTGACTACAGCCCACAGTTGTCCCCTTTCAGCCCTTTGTCACAGCTTCAACCTACCTGGCCTCTCGAGCTTGGAAGCCTTACTGTAGATCCTCTTTGGGAACTTGAGATCGGGCGTTTGCCTTTTTCACATATCAAGCCACGTGCCCTTGGTACCCAGAGTAGCAAAGAAGGGAGATGACGAACTTGTTAACTTTTTCCTGTGATGTTCCTCCCTGCATCCTCTATCCACGCCTACACTTCCATGTCCACTCACATGCTTACACATGTGTTCACACTCACACAGACTGAGTCCAACATTTTATCTGTCTTCTAGAGGATTAAGGAGAGGAGCTAGAGATGAGTTTTATTGGGTTCTCAGAAGAGCTTGCTTTGGAATTTTCTTCTCAGAACTTTTGAGTCTTGGTGAAGTGAAAATTCACATTTGTGTTTGCTTTGTTCCTCTGTAACGAGCCCCTGGTTTTCACCTTCCCTGCTCCACTGTCTCGTCCACGTGTCCTGACCCTACATCCTTGAATTCCCATTTTGCTTTGGGATTAAGTTATTATAATTGGTCAACAATATTTAAAAATAGAAAAGTCCTGGAGGAAATTTATCAGGCTCTTTTCTTTTGGCTTTTTTTTTTCAAGGTACTGTAAATTGTTAACTAGGGATGCCAAGCAGGCTTGGTTCAATGGCTAAACCTTTTATCGTATTACAGTGTAATGCTGATCTCAGCCTGGTCTCACCACCAGAGCACACAGACTTGAATAAAACTGTTATAACAATGACTTCTGGTTTGCTTTGGTGCTTTATAAACATGTGCTTTTCCCTCTTTTCCTTTTAATTAAACAAGGTGCTCAAGTAAACTGGTCTTGTTAGGGAAATTTCCATAGGAAGGAAAAAAAAATAACTGGAGACAGAGATGGATTTGCAGCAGGAAAGGGGAGGTGCGTGAGGAGCCTCTCTGAAGCCCCCAGAAAACAGCTGGACCTCAGGGATCTTCCAAAGCCCGGTGTAGAATGGCCCTTCCCCAGGGGATTCATCTCTGCTCCAAGCTGCTGTCGCCAAGGTTGCAAGTTTGGGCCGCCAGAGCCCTGGATGAGTGTGTGCTGTTTCCTGCTCCCTCTCATTTACCCTGACATTCATAATGAAGTCGTGAGTAGGGCTAAGAGGACCAGCACAGATGGAGTTGTGGACAGGATTTGCTGTGAATCATGGATTCCTTGTGATCCTGATACTCTCAATGGCACTTGTCGACTGTGACCTTGGGCAAACCACTTAACCCCTCTGGACCTCTTTTGGAGAAAGCTGACTACAAAGCACCCTCTGTACTCTAATTTTCTAATTATGTGTTGGGTGAGGGTGAGGACAGGAAGAATCTTGTTTGGGGCTCTTCTGTGCCATGTTAGTCCCCAAGTTCAGTATTCAGTTCATGTGGAAAAATGGCTTCTGGCACCTTCACACTTGAATGTCATGATCTTTTATACCAGTCCCTAGCTTTTAATCCCTTCCTCTGCAATCTGGAGAAGGGTGATTGTGAGGTGGGTTCTGTGCTGGATGGTTAGACCTTAAAGAGAAGACGACCTTGTGTTGAACTTCCAAGTAGGTTTGACCAGGGTCCACTTACCTCTTGTGGGCAATGATGAAAAAGCAGAGTGGGTAATGATGAAAATTTGACCAGACTGCTTGCTGGAAAAGGTGCCATACGCTGTATGCATATGTTACAGGAAAAGCACTTTGCCCATGTGGCATTAATTCTATAACATGGACCCAAAACTTCCAGTCAGTAATCAAAAACTGATCACAATGTGCCAAGCATTGTGCTATGACTTGACTTTCATGTCATTTACAACATCTCGGCATCCTTAAGATGTCTCCATCCTTAGCTCCCATTGCCATCTTCATTTTCTATCAAAGAAAATGAGTTTCAGAGAGTTGAGTAACATGCCCAAGGCCACACAGCTGACTCCAGCAACTGTATTTGTATCATAAGAAAGAATTGGATTCAGACAGATTTATTTACAGGTCATCCCAACTTTTACAAGAGGATTCAAGTCACTACAGATGACCCTAACAAGTCTTTTGTTGACTCACTCTGTCAACATAGAATCTGAGAAGTGAGAACACGATGGCTCTATGTACAAATTAGATCAACCCAAATGCCTGACAATAGTAGCTGATTAAACTCTAATTCTCTGCAAGGCATTTATTGAGTATCTGCTGTGTGCCAGATGCAAGCGGACGCTGGAGACTCAGCTCAATTAGACAGAACCTGGTTCTCGAAGATCTCATTATCTGGTGGGAGAGCTTGAAACAGAAATAAGTACACATACTAGAAGTGGTCAGTACAATGACAGTGCTCAGGGAGCATGGAGGACTGAAAAGGGCTTTCAGGAGGACTCCTGAGTTGAGGCTTTTGTGACAAGATGCAAAGGTACAAAGGAGGGAGCCGGCCCCTCTCATCAAGGAAAACACTTCTGTCTCTTGCTTTTTGAACCCTTTTTGATGTTTCACATTAGGTTTTTATCTCTGCTTTAAGAGACAACCAGATGCAGGGTTATATGGCCATTAAAACCAGATTATTCATGCATAAAGAAATAGGAAAATGTTCATAAATTAAATTCAAAATACAAAAGGTTTCAAAAACAATTTGGTCTCAATTACATACATATTGAAAGTATATTTTTTCTCTCTTTTTTAAACATTAAAACCTTGGTAGGGCCCTCCCTGGTGGCGCAGCGGGTTAAAGCACAGCACTGAGAATCTAAAAGCTGCTTCCGCATGAGTTCGATTCCCGCCTGCCCCGGAGGAGACCACATGGCGCGGCAGACCTCTCCTGACCCGCCCGCTGCTCCCCTCAGCAGTATACTTCATCGATCTGCCTGTTCTGCTCCCCACTCTGTCTCTGGTGAAGCCTCTCACCGCCCCTGAGCCTCTGGCCTGTACCCCAGTTCTGTATGCATAAATAAATAAATCTTTAAAAAACAAACAAACAAACAAACAAAAAAAAACCTTGGTAGGCATAAGAAGATGGAAAGTTAGTTTTTACTACCTTTATTAAGTATTATGGGTAATCTAAGAATGTTATTTGCTTTTGAATTTTAATACTTTTTTTTTACATTCAGCTTAACAATGGTGAATACATTAGCTTGGGGCACTTTCCTCTGTAAATGCTTGAGGCCCAGTCTCTTGCTCTGAGGCTGTCCCCTGCCCTGAGCAATACATCAGGGTGAGTTCAGAAGTTCTGCCCTTCAAAGGCAGAATTGGGGTCAGCTCCAGCTCCCCAGTCCCAGTAGGGTCTCCCCTCCCCGCTTTCCTCATCTTGTCTTCCCCACTATGAGATGGTGCCAGAATGGGTATCTCATGCAGAATGTAAACAGGACCTAATGAGGACACATGAGTGCAGAAAGGTCCCTGAAGGAGGCACCATGGAGGTCTCCCATAGGGCTTCTTACCTGGCTATGAGTGCCGGGGCCTGGTGGGCAAGCAGCGTGCTTTTCTGTCTCTGACACATGCACCCACTCTTCTGTGAAAGGAGCTGGGAAAACCCTGGATGCACCACACCCTACTTACTGGCTATGGAATGTGCTTCATTCAAGGCTGGGACTGATGTGCTAATCCTCTGAGCCCTCCAGTCCACCCAATCTAGTCCAACCAGCTCAAGTTGGCACCACAAGCGGGTTGGTGGTAAAAGGTGGGCGTTGGCTGCTCGGCCTGGCCCCTCCTCTCGGCAACTCTGATCACACTGCAGTCACCCAGTGAGGAATGCCCCATGTGCAATTTCAAGGGAAGGTATGGGAAACTTCTTTAGGGTCAGAGTAGTGGGTCCAGAGGATGGAGGGTAGCTGCTGGGGTGGAGGAGTGGGGGGAGGTTTGGAGACAGATCAGCCCCAGAAAATATGCTCATACAGTATAGGTGTGATCATGTTATACTCCTATGCCTGTAGCATTTTCTCTTTTATTAAGATTTATTTTGGGGCCCTCCCTAGTGGTACAGAGGGTTAAAGCACAGCACTGTGAAGCTGTCTGCAGCCACTGCAGCACAAGTTCAATTCCCAGCCAGGGAGGTGTCTGGGAGGTGGCACAGCAGACCTCTCCTGACCTGCCTGCTGCTCCCCTCAGCAGTGTATTTCAGTAGATCCAACTATTCTGTTCCCCACTCTGTCTCTGGTGAATCTTCTCACCACCACCACCACCCCACCCCCCACCATACCTCTGGCTTATAAACCTTTTTTAAAAGATTTATTTTCATTTATTTATGCATACAAGAATTGTGGTGTAGGCCAGAGGTGGTAGTGGTGAGAAGATTCACCAGAGACAGAGTGGGGAGCAGAATGGCAGATGGACTGAAATATGCTGCTGATGGGAGCAGCGGGCGAGACAGGAGAGGTCTGCTGTGCCATGCGAGTTAGGTCCCTGGCCAGGGATTGAACTCATGACGCAGTGACTGGCGATAGCTTGATAGAGCTGAGACTTTAACCCCTGCATCACCAGGGAGGCCCTGTAGGAAATTCTTTAGCACAGTCTCAGGGCCCATCTTCTGGTCCAAGCTATTTGCCAAACTCCTACCGCAATGTTCCTGCCCCCAACCCTCCCCACTCCTAATACAGTACACTTACTGTTTCCTGTGAGATTTGGTCTTCCAGGAACAGAGACTTCTTGCTTGAGAGAGCATTCCCTTCTTTATGAAATTTTCTACCCAAGTTTCTAAGCTGAATGGCTGAGTATAACATAAGTGGTTGAATTTGTGAGTGGTGGAGTTGGGATTTGGGAATGGGTGGGGTCCAAGGAGATGGAGATTATAAAGCAGGAGAGAGGAGACAGGAAGAGAGACTGGATGCTGCCCTCCAAGCCACAGTGTCCCAGGTGACACCAAATACACTGGGGTACATTGAAGACACTCGCCTAGCACCAAGGGAGCTCCTGCTCCATAGTAAAGGCAGGTGTGAGTCCTAGTTAGCAAGGCCAGTGAAAGAAACACTGTGCCCATTTTGTCCTGCGCTTTACCCAACTTAGAGACAATCCCTCTGATAAAGATTGAATGAAAGCCTGCTCTGCTGGGGCATTCGCTTGGCAAAACTCAGTTCTGGGTCGGGGTCCCAGAGGTCAGTGGGTATTCTTATGATGACAGGCATACGGAGGTAATGAAAGGAGAGGAGTGCCCCCCCCCACTCCAACGGTATCTACATTAAAAATTAAAGAATGCAGGGCCCTCCCTGTGGCGCAGCGGGCTAAAGCACAGCACTAAGAAGCTAAAGCCACTTCTGCATGAGTTCGATCCCCGCCTGCCCCAGAGGTGACCACATGGTGTGGCGGACCTCTCCTGACCCGCCCGCTGCTCCCCTCAGCAATGTACTTCAATGATCTGCGTGTTCTGCTCCCACTCTGTCTCTGGTGTATCCTCTCACCCTCTGCATCTCTGGCCTGTACCCCAGTTCTGTATGAATAAATAAATAAATCTTTTAAAAAAATTAAAGAATGCATAAACACCTCCCCTTAAAGCCTCTGAGAATGATGGAGAAAAGGACTGCTGCCTTTGGGGAGTTTACCACCTAGTGGGGAAAATAGGTAAGACACTATAGTGTTGTTATTGTCTGTTAACTTACATTCTAAAGAAAGAGAAAGAAATTAAATAAATAAAAAATGAATGAAAGAGTACCCTGAGGCCCTCCCTGATGGCGCAGCGCAGGGGGCTAAAGCACAGAGAAGCTGGCCTCTGCTTTAGTGCGAGTTGGATCCCCGCCCAGGAGGTGACCCAAGTGCACAGCAGACCTCTCCTCACCCGCCC